AACAATTATCCTCCAGGGCAGATGAATGTATTGTTTGTGGATTCAGTTTTAGAAACAAACTACTAGTATTTGCGTGTCGATAGTATATATTTATATAATTTACATAATATTTATGTTAATCACCTATATTGTATTTATTGGTGTGTATTGCTAACAGCCCAGATATCTCAGCTGAGAGGCTGCAAGCACAGTGTACTTTTTTTCGCCAACTCTTGTAATTACGTTACGTTAATTGATGCAGCACATGGATTAATTTAACATGTTAATTAGTATTTTCTTAGACATGATGCTGTACTATAGTTTTGTCTCACACCAGTTCTGTTTTTTTTTATAATTATTGATTACTTCATTATTCTTGTCTATGTCTGATCAGAATTAATTCTATCTTATTTTTAGTCAGTGTTTTTATGCAAAATGTCTTAGTTTATATTTTTGGTCACACAAAGAAAAGATCCACCAATTTGTTATTTAACTAAGATTCAGGCAATAGTTGTGCTATTTTGATAAACAGTACCATCACAATTAACTAATAGTACCGGTAAAAAAACTAAAATTAAAATTCTAAAACTGTGATGAATAGCTTCCAAATACTTTTGTTATTTTTATAAGAGTATTTCCAGTAAATTAGTGACTGATAAACGTATTTTCTTTGAAAAATAGATATTTATTGATACTTAAATAAACCTTGTTCTGTCAATTGTTTTTTTAAGTAGATGAACATGTTATGCTTATGAAAAAAGCTGGAAAATAAATTAATGGCTTAATATACCAAGACGTCACTTATTTAGGTGATGTGGTTTATTGCTCTTCATGTCACTGATGTCTTTATTTGATGCAAAATTTTCAAATAAATTAACCCTCCTACATACTGTTACATTTATTATATAATTTTTTTAATTCACATGATAAAACAAGACAGCTGAGATGGTTCATCATCTCTACCAATTCAACCCGACCCCTGTATTATAACTGTCAATATCGAAAAAGAGCGATCTAAATGGAGTACATGAGTTGTTTTGATAAAAATGCCCATACCAAAGGCTATGTGGCAAAATATTAATCTCAAACTTTAGTTAACACTTCAGCTATTTCTTTTGGATGCGATTCTTGTACAATACTGCCAGTTCCCTATAGTACATTCGCATATAAAAAACTGACTGGGAATACTCCTCTTTGAAATAACGATTAAGTGCTAATGAACAACAAATAACTGTCTGTGGGAAAGTATCGTTCTCTTCTCTTAGTTTGTCAACCATCCAATAAAATATGGACGCACTGTCCCTAGGAGTCTTTACGACTGACAATCCAATGAGGCAGTTGTGGCCAGTGCAAGGCCCGTAACATCAGGTAAAACAGCGTAGTTCCCCCAACAAGTTAGGAAAATTCCTTGAATGCACTTTGTTGTGTCTTGCGCCTGCTTTTTTGGCTGTCATCACAGAATCACAGAAAGATCACAGAAATTATCATTTGAAGGTAAACGTGTACAAGTTGGGATTCCAAATCTAATCATTTCCTGATTTTGAAAAAAACAAATTCTCTAATAAAACATGTACACTGAAATTTTGTTAGAATGAGCACTTTTATAATGAATAGCCCAAATACAGCTCTGTACACATGCAGTAGTGGGGGAATATGTTCACATATATCCTACATTAAAAATATTCGCATTTTATCAGAAAATATGAAATGATGAGTGGCTAAGCCACTTTTAAACCGCATCCCATCGACCATTCAACATGAACTTCTACAATTTATAACACACATAATGCAAATTATGATTTTAATGTTGAGTGGAAATCTTACCCGAACTTTCATTAATGGAATCACGGGAGAACCTATGATAACAGAACCAGGTTTCTTAATTATACATGGGTAGATTAGTGATTTAACCAAATCCAGTTCACAGGATGGCTTGGACATTGTTTTAATAACAGATGTGTTAATGACTCCTTCTTGCACACCTTAAAGAAATGGGAAATGTGCACATTTAATATATCGCAATAAAAAAATTGACTCGGCAAATAAATGATTCACGTTACTTTTAAGTTGTTAATGCATATAGGTCACAGTCACGGCATGAGGACAAAACTTACTGTTTAACGGTTAAGACGGGAGTAGGGGATGTCGTCGAAAGGCTAAATACAAATACGAAAATTACTGACATGAAAGCCATAGATTTATCATAGACTCACAAAAACATTGCCTGGTCGTAATACATTAACTCATAATGCATAATGCATAAAGTCGAAACAACATGCGCGCATGGTTTATATTGCGTCGAATGCGACTCGTTAACAAGATCAAGTAACGCCGCCTCACCTGTGGTAATACAAGGTCATCAAAGTTGAAATCCGAATGATCTCAAATGAAATACATACATCAGCCGTGATTGCTCACAAAAGATAATTAAGTTTTTGTAAAAGTGACTAAAACTCACCTCAAATTCTGAATCCTCTTCATTTCACATCGGTTCTAACATTACTTGAAGCCATCTTGAAATAACCAAGAACGATGAGTCTGGCGCATGCGCAAAGTCAGACAGCTATTTTTGTAAGCCACACTATGATTGGTCGACAAAACTCGTCGAAAACTGATCTCGTTGTACGAGATTTGTATAGGCATTGAGTCAGATTTTCTAAGAACTGATTAACGGCAAGAAAACAAAAAAATCGACATATTCAAACTAAAATACAAATAAATATAATATAAAAGGTTATAAAAAAATAAATAAAAAAAATTGGAGCCTTATACCTACATAGGATTTTAATCAGATTGAGTATTTACCATGCCCAATATTCGGTGTTGTTTATTTGCAATCAGAAAAATATCTGCCACTATGGATACAACAACATAGCATATCTATACCCAGGGTTTCTATCCCATCCCTAACTGGTCACATGATTATGACCAGAGACCAAACAAACATCAACAAATACAGATAATGTAAAGAACACATGCAAAATCAAATTATTCATAAACTTTGAAAAAAAGAAATATTTCACAGAGAAAGTCTCTTTATCTGTCATATTAGAATATTCAAAAAAATATCATCGGACTTGTTGACACGTGGTTAGATAAAAAAAAATCCAGCAGTACCGTACCAATACCGGCATACTACAGCTATTCAGTGAACAGAAATAACAAGCAATAAGAGGCATTTTCAATTCATGTAAAGCAAAAGGAATTTCTGTGGTGCAAGCTTTTTTTCATTTTAAAAATAACATATATATAATATCAACCGGCAAATTTGAAAAAAATGTACAACTAAATTTTTGCTTGTCAAAAATCATATATTTCTGATTATTCGAAATGAGAAAACATAAACATACATTTTGTGGTAATGAGGCTCTTTTTGCTTTTAGTAATTAAAACAAAACACACATTTAAGAGACTTTAATTGTTAACAAATTAAAAAAGTAGTAATACAAATACATGTTGAACAATCATTAACAAACTGCAAAACACGAACACAGATCAAGCTAATTCCATTTCTGTTGAAAAGTGGTAAGAGTACTATAAAATAAAATAAAATAAAATAAAATAAAATAAGTTGATCAGCAATAAAATTAAGACAGTTGATAAGAAACTTGAGAGTAAGAATATATGGTGGTGGTGGTTGTTAAGTATTTTTAAAATACACTGCTGATTAGAAAGATTATTTAACTAAGCCTCAGGCTTATGAGCATATCTGAACATTTGGGAGACTAGTGTAATATAAGATATAGACAAATCATTCTGAAATTGTATTGCTAACATAACTACACAGTACTTGGAAACAAATTTCATCAATTATAACCAAGCTTAAGCAATGTCGAGCAACTAATTATATTTTTGTTTTGACAGTGATTGTTATAAAAATAGCAAAATGGTAAATTATTAGTGTCTGAAGAAATGGTTTATTTTATGAGTTGAATTAATTGAATTAATGACAAAATTATTAAAAATATGTATTCTAACACCAATGGAAATACGATAACCTATCCTTGTGTACATGTAAAGGTGTAAGACAAGACTGTGTTTTAAGTTCTATCCTATTTATTTGTTAAGTAAATGATTTAAGTAAATCAGTTTAAGATGAATCTCATCATCAGGTCACATTAGACTAAACGCGTGACTATATGCTGACAGTTTGACATTATTGTCAAAAACAGCTAATGTGTAACGGCAAAAAATAAATTACAGAACTACGGCCAAAAATGAAAAATTTTACCTGCCTAAAACTTAACTAATCACATTTAGAAATGAAAAACTACAAAGTGATAACAAATTAATTACATTAAATTAATTAAATCAAAATGAAAAACGTTGTTGTGTAAACTAATACAATTTCCTCGAGATTATCTTCCAATCAAATGGAAACATTACTGAAGCTAGAGTCAACATGACAGATAAAGCTATTAAAGCAATACAAGAAACAGATTGCCAAAATATATACTCCGCGATTCAGAAATTTGAGAATTGAAAAATATCAGTTATAATAAACGGAAAAACCAAAACGGATAATCACAAATATATTTTTAAATTATTTATTAGAAAGGTGCATTTCGGGGTGGACTAGGGGAAATTCCATTTGATTGACAATTTTAAAATAATATGATTACGTTCTAGTCCCGAGTGGCATATATGTCAACCGCGTGAAAAGCATTGCAATTTTCAAGAGTCCTTAAATGTGTTACAAGTAGTCACAGCTTAACCATTGAAAAATGAAGATATCAGTTATATAATGAAAAGTTATTGTTTTTATTTTAACATTCTTGTTAGGTTAGTTTTCTTTAAATTGCATTTTCCAAGATTTCTTTATGGTTTTCTGGTAGCTAGCGGCCATCATTATTTTGTTATTTTTGGAATCAAATATGTATATTCAGCGACGACCGCCCTGTAAATAAGCATTTTTTCCTGTGTCATTTTCCCAGCACTTGATATTTCCTTGATATTTATAACAAATGCGCCATTCGACTTATGGGGTTGCGTCACACTTGACTAGTCTTGACTACATTTATCTAAGCTAGTTTGCGTTCAAAGATGAGTTTTTTCAGCGCTTTTCGCATCATAGGATTAGCAAGTGCGTAACATACAGGATTAATTGCACTGTTTGTGAAGTACATCCAGTAGACCACTTTAAACACATCAGGATGAATGCATTTTGGACATAAGGTAATCACAATGGCAACTATGTGGTACGGCATCCAGCAACACACAATTGCTGCTAGTAATGTAGTGACAGTGCGGAATGTTTTACTTTCATTAGTTTTAGTAGTTCTTTTTGCCATATTGTGCGCTGTATTCACAACAGTTTTAGATTGTCCAACGTAGGCCGCAGACATTTTATCTTCGCGTCGACCGGTTTGCATGTCATCTAGTTCAAATACATGATCAGGATAATTCAGCGTAGTAATTGATTCTGACCTACCGTGTAGCTCCACTGTATCACTGGCTTCTTTTGAAGGGGTGACTTTATTCGCTGAGATCGCATCATCAATGTGAGTTGCAAATCCTGATCTGTCTTGTTCAGAAAAAACGTGAAATTGATTTTTTACTGCATCGTCCGTGGTGCAGCATTGCTTGTCATTTAAGTCACCACTGCCATCGAACGGAACGATTGTACTGTCTTGTGGCCTTCCTGTTTCGAAAATATCTCCATCCTTAGAAAATGCGGGATTCATAACTCCAATTTCACTGCTAGAGGCATTATTTAAGTCTGTGCAATCTGGCAATTCTTTATTAGGCTCCGTTCTGTTTTCCACACCCTTGAACGTCCGGTGTTCATGTGCCTTACATGTTGGGTTCGTGGACTGTGCACCGGCATTGTCAATCCGGCTTACTCTTTTGTGTGCAGTCTTAGTAGCCACTTGATATATTTTGATATACAGTGCGAATACAACAAATAATGGTATCCAATATCCTAATATTGTCTGCAAGATTATAAACCATGTAACGTCCAAATATGCAATAACACACTCTTCTTCAGAAGTACTGTATTCACGTTGGAACCGAGGCCACAGAAAGTTAGGTAGCCCGTATATCACAAATGCTACTATCCATGTCAGACATATTGTTGTCCAAACCTGTCGTTTGTTGATCCGAGTTAAATGTCGTATTGGATCAACTAATGCAATGTATCGATCCACAGTTATAGCCAATATGGCAAACAGCGATACACTGCAGACAGTGTAATCTATAGTGAGCCATATATCACAAACTAAACGACTGAACGGCCACTTTCCTATTACGTTGTACATAGTGAACACAGTAGTCGACATCAAACCGACTAGAAGATCTGAAACAGCTAGATTGAGAATGAATAAATTTGATAGTTTCCGAAGACTTCTAACTCTCGTAAAAAGTAATATGACGACAACATTTCCTAGAATTATAGCTAGGCCTAGAGCACTACCTGCTATTGCCGTCCATATGGATATTAACGGCGGCTCTTCAAATGGGAGATGAGTAGTCAACATTTCTGAACTCCACGGCATCGGTGATTTGGAAGTACCATAATTCAATGTTGCAGTTTCATTACGTGTCTCATTTAGCTCCATCATGCTTGTGGAATATGCAAACTCTATGCTGCTTCTTTCGATGAGCTCCAACTAATGATATTAACAATTAATACCCCACTTTGTGTAATATGATTGTCATATAGGAACTAATAGAAAACAAATCAACCATAAACCTGCGATAAAGGATAAAAATTATCTATTTGTTTGGTATAATCATCGTAATGTTTCCATCAATAATAATGCATTGTACACACGAAACAAACAGACATATATTACAATATGAAAGACGGGATTCATACTCGTGATCACGGCAATCGCCTCGCCACAGTTGCAAACTCGCTACCTACCACGCCAAACACACTTCGCCAACAACGGCAATTTAACATGACATATTGTGGATAATGATAATAAAGTCAAATCTCGCACATCACAAATAACGTATACAGCTATGTAGTCAAGGTTCAATTGAATCACTTATTTAATTGTACCTTTAAATAAACAAATATTATAAACAAGGAGTTTGAACTAGCGATCCCGTCTATTGCTTCGCCTGAAGACAGACGTGCTACCTACCACACCACACTCACTGTTCAATAAACGCAGTTGCAATTAACATGTGATGAACACCGCCCCATTTTACGAGCGTTATTGTTTGACATACAAACAACATATGTAACCGTTATACACATTTCCATATGTTCAACAAACACACCTTAAATAGTACTTCCAAGGTAGTGCAATGAAGAAAAATGAATAAATAAAAAATAAAGCCGCTAAGCAGCGATTGTCACTGCCCGTGATCAGGCTATTAGTTGGCGTTGGGCATACCCAGACCGATTGTCTCAGTGTAAGACATTATCTAGATATAGCCCACCCGCCATCTTTTTACAAAGTCAACATTCATGTGAATTCTAGAGTCTGTGACTTCAATATATTTATACCAAAGTGTGAAGTTATGGGAATAGACGCAACGCCCCTATTCGGGTTCGAACTCGAAACTTTAAGCTAAAAGGACCTACCAGGAATTCGATATTATTGGTCGTTTTTTGAATTTTGACACGTTCAAAATGTGGTCATAGCTATTTCGCAGAGTTACATAATATGTAAATGCTATTTGAACAATTAAAACAAAGCTCGAAACACGTGTATACATTTATATCAACACAATTAATCGAACATGATTGGTCAGTACAAACAGTTTTAGTTGACGCATTTTAAGTTGCCCCTCGTGTCGATCAAGTATGTGAAAGAATGCACCCCAGTCGTGCATAATCCTTTGCATATTCATAATGTACATATTCGCAATGCCCCAAAACATATTGCGAGATACGATGATTGATAATGACTATTGTTAATAAATAATTTACTACGAAATGCGTGAATGAGTACCTGTGTGCGTGGGCATTGACCTTTTCGAATGTGTAGTCATTGTTCTCACACACACACACACCCACACATACACACAATTTGCATACTGAAATTGTGGCAGGTCCACCTTATATGCATTGCATTATCTGCATAATGGACACAATACTTACTATTTAACTAGTAAAATAATGTCGTCCAATAGCCAATACAGGACATCTTGTTCCAGACAAACAGCCTGTTTGTCTTCCGCCGTTCTGTGAGATCCTAGTCCTTTGTACGTAAACAATTTCTTTTTAACACAGTAAAACTTCTGTTTTTGCATTTGATATAACTCAAGGATCAAAACACTGTGGGAACAAGGACGTATGAACTCTTCGAGAAGGTACATATACAAGTTCTAGAACACTTTTGAAAACAAGCAGATTTGACATAAAATCCGGCAATGGAGCATTGTGATTGATCGAGAGGTAGGTAGTTATAGGTAGTTTTTAATTTGTGTTTGCATTTTCGCTATTGTTTTACGTATGCCTTTTATTTTGTTTTCTCCAGTGAACGGTGAACGTGCGCCATATTGCAAATTACTTCAAAACAGATATTTTGTTTCAGTGACAAGAGCTGGAACTTAAACAACGTCTTCTGTTTTTGATCAGCTGTGGAGTAATCACTCTTACCAACTGAGCCAGGCAGACGATTAATATTTGAATGTGCCGTGGCGTCCAGGTCGTGTTTTCTGAACTTATTCCCAGCCAATTGTTCATCTGCGCAATAGGAACTACATAACACATGCACGCAGCAACCGAGATAGGTAGACAAGAAAAAATGCTGTTCAATGTAGTCCACACTGCACTGTATATTGCAAAAGATTTTAAAACTTTAGTCTCTCCATTTAGAGTGAAATTCAGGTCTTTCTAATTAACCCACGGTCGTTATGACAGTGGCTCTTCTGTATACTATATAGATAATAAACAGATAAAGTTGTCTGAAATCAAATCTAACATTAACCAGAAGTTTAGCATTAAATTGAAGTATGTAACAGATGAATACTGCTGTTATTGTGCATGTCGCTCGGCGACCTGAAATCATTTTGATCATACAACAATGGACATAGATCGGAAACAATTTGCATATTCAACCCCAGGAACAATGAAACCACAATTGTGTACACACAATGGCGCAGATAGTTGACCAAGGCGAAGCCGAAGTTAACAATCCTGTACGAGGGGTTGAATAAAACCGAATACAACAAACATTTTGTAAATGGCTGCAAGACCGCTCCCGCTTCCAATGACAACATTCGGAGCATCCCACATTCACAAATAGATGTTTCATCATAATTCCAATGGATTGTATGTATTTATAATCCATAATCATTAAGTAGATACCGAGTAGCTACGGTCAATATGTGAATATATTGACTGGTACGGCTATGAGATACAATAATATTTTATTTTTTTCATTTGAATATTACAATATAAACTTAAAGCTTTTCATGACTTCCATCAATACCATAAATAAATAAGTTTTCTAAGATAGTTTTCAACGTATACGTATAATTTTTGGGGGGTTATGTTACCTCACGTCAATATTTTAATAATTTATTTTTGAAATCCAATCATATTCATCCCAAGTCATTTCCGTTCACAATTGTGAAATACATCTTATTTGCATATTTAATTCTGTGTAACAATGTAAACTTTTATAAATTGGAGATGAAAACATTAAAAAGCTAGTTCACTGTGATATTAAGTAATGTTGGGAATAGAGATAGAGTTAGTGTGAGTATGTACAGTGCCGGACAAATTTAATGTCTAGGTAACAAGCACAGCCAGTGAAATTTAATGTTACTTTACTGTCATTAGTAACTGGATTGTTAAAAGTTGTTGGGATTGTTAATACTAGCGTTGGTTCATGTGCTATCAATTGATACTTACAGCATAGTTTGTGTGTATTGTGGAGTCGGTTTCTATTGGGTATTACTATACTACCTAGAGGATAGAGGTTTGTCTAGGTGTGGTTATTGTAATTTTACAATATAACACAGGCGTTGTATTTAAGCGTGATGAAACCGCTTTCCACGACGTTACATACAATTCATTTGTAATTAACAGTATAGGAGCCGAAATGAAATGTCATATCACTGATAATAGTGTTATATGAGTGTTTGTATTACTGTATTACTTTTAAAGTATGGATACATGCATCCCAACAACAGTGTATAGATAATTACTTTATTGCTATTATATAGACATATAGATTGGAAGCTATTTGGATGTACCCCGATACAAATATATTTGGAACCGGATCTTTTATAAATGTAGGTACGTATTCTTTCTATTGTGAGTAGTATTCTCTCAAGTCCAAAAATAAAATGTTGAACTTGTTTATTTTCAAAATACATACATAAAAAGATTAATACATTTATTTTGGAGAAATGCATCACCAAGCTATCATTAACGTGCCAACTACATTTGAGGCATGTGGAGGCCGTGGGAAAGTCGACCAAAAATAAAATAGATACTTTTTAGTTCAACCACAGGCAGTATCCGCGGTAAACAGTGTCCCTGTAGTTACACAAATTGCAAATTTGATGTATAGTTTTGTTGACCAAAAGCTGCAAACCGGATATATGTGATAAGTAGAATTTCAAAAATAATAATCCGTTATATCGGATGTTAAAGTGATTTTCAGACTGTACACAATTGTTATCTTGCCATTAGTGCGTGAATATCACTGTTAATATCATGTCATATGCTGATAACATATTAATGTTGTGTACTTTTATTATAAACTATATATTATATGCCACAATTTGATTAATATTTCTCTGTCATCTTTAACTGTGTTTGTTATTATTAACGCTTACCCATATGATAAAAGTGACGCACGGTGTACTAATGGCAATGGTACAATAGTATAGGGAAGTTCATTCATCGAATTTTACGTATAATGGTTCACATTCACACCGAATATACATTAACCCGAAACATTAATTAATTATCACATTGAAGGTAGAATGGTCTGGCGCTGAATGTTTTGGAACATTTATAAATTGTTCATCGTGAAGAAGTACATGGGGTTATCAAGGACGTATTGCCTGTCATTGTCGTTACCGTATAAAAAGCGTCTGCATCAGCCTCGAGAAAACACCGGCATGTGTTAGTTGAACAGCCTAGAAATAATCATGAACGACAGTAGCAGTTCTTCATCGTTATCGTATGATTACGAAGAGGTGACCCGAGAATACCAAGTGATACGTAAACTGTATATCTGCATCAGTGCGGTCTGTATGTTCACCAATACTATGGTTGTGCTGGCGTTTATTTCTTCGTACAACTTACGAGAACGCGTCGCTAATTATTTCATACTCAACCTTTCGATCAATGACTTTGTTACAGGATTTGTAAATTTAGTGTACCAATGCTTAATTTACAATCCGTTTTTCTATGGATCGATTTACTGTTGGATTCTATCTGCGATTCAGCCAACTGTGTTTGCGTGCTCGTTTATGTCAATGGCACTGGTAAGTCTGGATCGATACATCTACATCACATCGCCATTGTGTTATCACATGAGAGTTACTGCCATACGAGTCAAGACTGCAATACTATGTTCTTGGGTGATACCAATAATTATCGTCATAGTCATCCCAAATATCATCCATCCATTCTATCATGTTATCGAGGATCATTGTATTTATCTGGAGTCTACGTCGGTCACTGTTTCGGGTCCAATTATGGCCATGGTTACCATGACGATAATGCTATTTTCTAGCATTAGTATTTTAATAGAAGCTCGGAAACAACGTAGGAGAATCGTAAATCAAGGAAGTATGTCACCAACTAGTGTATATTTATTCAATCCATCTGGGGATATTCGACGTTTGGTGAACACTGGAGTCTTGGTGTTGATTTTTCTGATAATGTGGCTGCCATACATCGTCACAGCGACACTTGTGATGTCCAAGCAAAATCAACGGTTTAACGCAAGATCCCTTGAATTGGCAGCAATATTTGTGTTTTTAAATTCAGCTATTAACCCAATGCTTTATGCAATGAATCCCGATTTCAAGAAAGCATATCTTCAAATATTACGTTTCAAATTATTCTAACTTCAATCTTTGCGAACTTTAAAATTACTGGTTTTATACTCATTGCAGTAACTCGTAATAAACATATATAATGACGATAATTAAGGTATAGGAAGAAATTTTCCTGCAAAAAGACACTTTTACATCGACTTCATTACTGTACTGTTTATTACTTTACCATAGTAATTATATCTATATATCATGATGAATCGATTAAAATATTTTGATATGCTAGTTAGAAATGCCGTTGACGCCCTCACTTGTAACTACATGTTATACGTGCTATACCGACTACAGAGCACAATGTCAGCGATAAAATAGAGACAGTGATAGAGGTTTGACAACTACTGATCAAACTGGTTTTAATCTCATGTTAAATCACGAAGATAAAACAAAAGCAACGTGGGCTTGACGATCTCATACAATATAGGCTGGATAAGAAGTTCTTAGTTGTACATAATGTTGTTTTTTCGAGAAAATACAGAACACTGAACCACAGATTAAATTAAACTGGTGTTCCTCCCAAGCCATTTTAATATAGATTTGGAAGTGTGTTGTTGGTCGAGAGTATTAGTACTACAACTGCAATGCAAGATAAAATAGAATATCAAGTCTACCCCACACTTTGTTGTTGTTCTAGTCTGTTTGCCAGGTCAGTCATATAAGTGAATATAGGTCATACAGCGAATTTACCGCTTACGCATGGAGCGGCATTTTGTATAACGACATACCATGCTGTGACTTTATATGAAGGTTTCATGAGATGAATGAATCAAAATATGATAATTCACACAGATCATTTATCATAAAATGATTGTTTGCTTTGTATATATATTTGTCTTTCTAGTATAAGATAAAGATCATGTTAAACACTTTTTTGGCGAATTGATAATTATATTTCATTATATGCTGTTCATTCGTAGAAGTGTGGTTGCAATTTGAAACACCACCGAACACGAATGAATTGGAGGCTATAACAGCAGGCGAGTGTCTTTTATATATGACGTTTTTGGAAACAATGGCATATTTATTGATGAATTATTATAGATTAAATTGATATATATACTCCAAATGAGATACACCATTATATATGTTTGTAGTATCAAGCTGTTAAGTAAATTTGCTATTCACCAAACATGTTTTCATTGGATTGTTCTATCGAGACAAAAATTATAATGAAATAACCTGAATGATAATATTTGCTAATCAATTAATGTATAATCCACACAAAACAAAATATTGCCAAATATACCAACAATTAAATTGACTTGAGATTGACGTACATATGTATACCAGGTCCATGTACATGTACATCATTTATCGTTACTTAAAGTATTTATTCATTACATAGTTGTCACCAATTTTCATTTGTATGCATAAAATGAGACAAAATCTATCAAAACACTGCCAGGAGGTATAAATATATAGCTATTATTCAATCAAGGCCTTACAACCTAATCAGATGACCTCAGATTTCCAATCACATATGAATTTTGTCAGCGAAATTAGAATGTTGGGCTTCTTACATCATCACCCCTTGATGTATAGAAATGTTTGTTATATTCCACATTTTAAATAATACAGATATGCGAAATGCCAAAAAATTGTAATTTCCTGTATAACTGTTTGTTGTTATAGTTACTTTCTTGACGTCTTTTCGCTCATAAAAATACATGTCACACGGAAGGTTTACACAGTTCAACTTTGATTAATTATCAACAAATAAAGACCATATTTAATGTATACTGAGTTATATCATGAATTCTACGTGAAAATGAGAGTTTCATTCATTCAACGGCTTGTAAGGTTGAGGAAATGGGACCGATGAAATCCGCATATTGGTGATTGTGCTGTGCCGGTCTATATAATCATTCTCTGGAAACGAATCGTTGTTGCCCATTATACGAATATTACAAAAACGTTAGATTGTAGGAAATACAATGGTACCGGGTTACCGGGCATTAGCCCAGCGATCCTACTGTAAAATACTTTATTTTAGCTGGAATTAATTTTCACTGAAAAGACCTTTTGGGTGTTTGTATGGAATATATTTTCACTGATTTGTGAGGAATTTGTATGTCAAAAATAGGAAAAATGGTATATTCGCTGGATTTTATTTTCACTGAATTGATTCCAAGAAAATAAAGTATTTTACAGTATTGCACTGGTCTCTCAAATTAAAATAAAAATTATTTATATGTGTAAATGTATTGGTTTAGAACACATGATACAAAACATAATTCAATTGCTGAAAACTGCTCAATATAAACTTAAAACATCACAATGGTATATTACGTAATACAAATCGTGGCATGTCAATTGGATACATATATTGGTTCGTGACGTAGTTTACTACGCTTATCAATTCCTGTTTACCATGTTAAGTATTGTTTCAAGTATTGCACTGTTTTTATTTGAATCTTCAGCTAAAGGCACAATCCTAAGATTCTAGATAGGCGGGATCATAGCAGCCAAATTAAGTTGACATAACGCCTGGCCCTAAACGTTGAAATGTAGTTGCAATTCAATTGTATTTGTTAATTGTTACAACGTTCAACTTCATCATTATCCTACGGCAAAGGCGTCATTGAATCGATGTTGGAATACATCATATAATTACTTCGAAATAACATTGGAATGTCAACACAGACATTACGTAATTCGAAAATAAAAATCTATTTTTTTTATGTATTTTTGGCAGCAGACATTTTGTGCCCATATTTCATGTGCGAATGCAGTTTTACATAGAACTACATTTCATGTTTGACAGAACTGTATGACAATCTTCCGACGACCACATTGGCATTATGGTAATTTATATGCCACTCGGATGTCAATCCGGCAGATATAAACGAGCAAAATATTATCAGATTTCGAATATTTGCAGTTTAGTTTTTTTTGTAATTAGCAACAAACTAGCGAAAGCGAACATACCAACATGTGTATGAATGACTCATTAGCCAATGAGCGCGCTGCTTAATTAGTACAGCGGCGACTCACTGGGATGCAAATACACACAGGTTTTGGATTTAGAATTGTAACGAATGTCTTCGTGTTCACGTTTAAAGGCAACAACTGCTATTATTTATATTCATTTAGAGAATTGTAACTCTATGAAAATAGTTCCTTCTTCGCAGAACCGATGACATAGACACAGGATTCAATGACGTAGAACTACCTGGGTATAAAGCCGTATTTTCTCTTCAACTTGGAATTACTTGGCTTGTGATAACATTATAGAAACATAGTTACAATGTAAAAACATATTATTTTATATATATGTTTGACCCTACGGCTTGAAAGATGTTATGACATGTCAACTCCGCTATGCGCCAAAGCAGTAAATTTTCTAGAATGGCCTGAAACACATAAAGCACACATATCATACTGGTACTTTCCTATGCTTCCACCGCGGCAGTGTGCATCGGGATACAATAGGTACGAAACCATGTCACCTTCACAGCCTATGTACAAATATAGCATTCAGACGTTATTAACAGTAAGCGGAAGTATCTTATAGCGTTCTCTAGGGAAAAATAGCGTATGATTACCGAGCGTAAACTGTATATTTCCATTATCAGCAACACCATCAAAGCAAATTACCGATGAATTCGATTATTCACCCAAAGAGGTTTGGTCAAAGTATGTTTATGTAGCATATTCTCGTGATTGTTATTACATGATTGTGTATGAACGTCGTTTCTGCGTGTGAATAGAACGAGACGTGTTAAGCGCGCGCACACAAAATGCTATTTACTCGGTTGTTGTGATCTATTCAAAGCGTTTTTTTTATTATTCATTAAATACTAATTACTACTTGACACAATGTTCAATAATATGTGCATTATTTATGTCAATCACTTTAAGATCACGGAAACACTGTTTGTCCTATGATTATAATAATTTTGCCTATATCATTAATTCATAACGATGGGGAACTGTGCGCAAATAACACGTGGCTCGCCAAATGGTTATTATTAGTAGACATGCATTGTTCACTAGGATGTGAGTTGTCATTTACGCATTAACCAGTATGGATGCTTGATGGCGGCGAGCTTACAATGTATTTAGTATGACTTGATGCCATCAACATTTGCCGAATTGATTTTGATTTTGAGATAATAACGGTCTGTATAAATCAATCATTCTATAATTACTTTATAGACTTTAGAATTTACCAAAACACTGCCAGGAGGTATAAATATACAGTTATTATTCAATCAAGGCCTTACAACCTAATCAGATGACCTCAGATTTACAACGACTTATGAATTCTGTCAGCGAAATAAGAATGTCGGACGTCTTTATTTACATCAACACCCCTTGATATATAGAAATGTTTGTCATATTCCACAATTTAAATAATACAGAACGAATTGTTGTTCACTGTACATCTTCAACTGTTTGTTGTTATAATTGCCGTTTGCCCAGGTTCTTGACGTCTTTTCGCTCATAAAAATACATGTCACACGGAATGTTTACACAATTTTGATTCTTTATCAAAAAATAAAGGCCATATTTAATGTATACTGATCGGTACAAATACTTCACTGAGTGAGAATCCACTAATGGGTTTACGATCAACACTGTCGGCCAAGCCTGATTGACAGCGACGTGGCGTATACATGTAAAAGGATAAGACAATTGTTACATAGACCCACACATCTGATGTTTTTGACAAAATACACTAGATGTAAGCACGTGTAATGTGCTTAAAAAGTCTACTACAACAATATTTAAAATAACTGAAACACACATAACTGTAAAAAAACATGGACCAATCAGTGAAAAATACGTAAACAGAGGTACGAGATCAAAAGGTGATGTCATATGTTTTGAAAATAGTACGTGTATCCTGTTCCACACGTACATATCAACTGTTCACTTCTAAAAGCCGTAGACTCAAAACGAACAATATTAATTTGAGAGTGTGTATGTACAAATAATAGCTCACAGTTGTACCGTTTTTATTTTTGCTGTTATCATAATAAACATCTTGTATAGAAACGACAACAACCAAA